CCCCTCCCCTTATTATACTTTGTAGCTATTAACAATTTAAATTTGTCGAGACTTCTAATACCCCGGCAAAGTTAAAATATAGTATGTTACAACTTCAACGTTCTGCTCGACCAATTGAGCTTCACGAGCTTATATGGAGACACTCGGATTCGAACCGAGCCTTCTAACATGCAAGGTCAGCATTCTACCAAATAAATTATGTCCCCTTACTGGTAGATTATTTATTGCTATAGTTATAGCAATCTACCAGTATATTTTATATATAACGAGCTACTTTGTTCTAGCTTGCGCACACCAAAGAATTCGAAGATGACTAACTATAAACTACTGCTCTTTATGCTAATTTTTCATCCTCAAGGAATATTCTTCCGTCCCTTGGCCCTTCTTGATTTACTTTAATACTATTAAATCTCTCCCAGCTGCTAATTTTTTCTACGCTAACGTTAAAGAAAAAAAAATATACTAAAGCTAGATATATTATTCTAAATCATTCTTGTGCGCTTGCTATACTACGCCAGGTGAAAAATTATTCCTATTACAAAGGATGGCCGAGCTAAAGCTATAAAAAAAAATTATTTAGGCGCAAGCTCTAGCTCTCTTCGTTCCTGCAAGCTCCCCCTAATTTCATTTGAAGGATAATCATATTTATGGGCAAAAGGAATAGGCATAGTGATATAGCTTACGCATACCTACAAGTAATGCGTACTTCCTATATCAACCTTCCAGATCTTAATCGCATACCTCTTCGGGTGCGTCTACATTCCGGAGCGTCCTCCTCCTCTGGAGGGTCTACCACCCCAGAAGTGTCTACATCCCCAGAAGCCCGTATAGTAAATGTCCCCCAAGGAGCCCCTTCCTCTGGTGAACCATATTCTTCTCCTGAAGCTATTTCATCTCCAGAAGCATCTACGTCCTGAGAAACAGCCTCTGCTATATGAATAGTGACTACTCCATATGGAGCCCCTTCCTCTGGTGAACCATACTCCTCTCCTGAAGCTATTTCGTCTCCAGAAGCATCTATGTCTCCCACAGGTACAGCTTCCACCTCACTCGATGGATTTGGGTTAAATTCTCGTTCTCTTATACTAGACTGTAGAAGTTCAAGATAGCCCACTGGCTCCGAATTGATAGGTTGAATAGAGATAAGTTGGCTAGGGAGAAGTAGGCTAGGATATCTAGTTTCTACTGCTGCTTCCACCTCACTTGAAGGATTAGGATTAAATTCTCGTTCTAGTTCAGACATCTCTCGGTCTCCTATACTAGACAGTGGACTATCTTCAGACTCTTCCTCCATTGAAGGCGAGAGCTCCTCTCCGGTTAGATACTTCTTGCTCTAATTTATACAGTTCTTCATCTCCTATACTGGAGAGTGAACTATCTTCTGCTTCCACCGGCTCCGGATTGATAGCTTGGATAGGGATAAGTTGGCTAGGAAGAAAGTAGGCTAGGATTTATAGGTTTCTACTACAGCTTGGTTACCTAAACTCGAATTCATCATAACTTCTCTAGCCAAATTTGCATCTATTTCCGCCGCGGGTAAAGCCTCTTCCTCACGTTAAGAAGATTTGACTCTAAAATCTGACCAGTCTGCTCCTGGTTAGCTTGTCTATCTGATAATCCAGTTATAGCTACCTCAGTTCTACTACGATCATCTACACTCTCCCCTCTCTGATAAGAAGGATTAATAATAGGAAGTCTTCCCCCCTCAGTATCCCCACCAAGTGGTGAAGAAACCTGGCTATTATTTACTCTGTCTTCATATCTAGCCTGTATGTTTAAAGTTTCCTGAGTAGAACGTATTATCATATCCCCGTCATAACTATAACCAAAAAAATCAGTACTAACACCACAAGGATCAAAATCTAAACTTGAATAGCCATCTACCAGTCCTTCTTGATTAACTTTGTCAATATCTTCCATACGAGTATCATATTGCGCATTATCTTCAGGGTTTTCTGGATGCGAACTGTTATCGTCTATATCCATACTTTTATCTTGTCCTCCTTCTATATTAGGAGAAGAAATACTAGGATTATCTCCATCTATCTCCATACCATCTGGGGAAGGAGCCCCTTCTCTAGATATATAATCCCTAGAAATATCATCTGCAGATATTAAACTAACCTCTGACTCACCGGATGAAAAATTATCAGCTCTACCTGGTGGCCCGAAGCTCCCTCTTTTATCTGAATATGAAGAGTGTACGGCTTCGCCGCTATTTGAATCTTCGGACATATTAACTTCTCTAGCTTGGAAGGCTGAAGAAGAGATACGGCTTACTATCTCTTCCGAATTTAAAGGGGATCCCTCATTATTATAATTATTGAGAGAAATATTCGGGCTATTTACTACCTCTTTATCTTCTATTGGTTCTGAAAATGAGAAAGAGGACCGTTCTATATTATTTGACCGTTCTAGATCATTTGACCCTTCTAGGTTATCCGGGTCAATATAATCTTCTAAATTCACCAATTCAAAGAAATTAAAATAATACACAGGATTTTCTGGATCCCCTTCTGGCAAATTCTCTATACCATCTGGATACCCCTCGGCAGCATCGGATAGATTCACACTATCCACACCCGGAGGTAGATAAAGAGTAACCTCATGATGATTAACGTGCAAATCCGGCACTTCTGGGATATCTCAGGGGAAAACTCGGTAATTAGTATCAATAGTCATCTCGACACAATAACACCTATTATTGTCTACACCTACCAAACGCGGCTCTATTCCACTTCCAATTGGGGTCATAACTGCTAACATTCTATCAATAGCTACAGTCAAGTACTTATATCCCCTTTCACGGTCAATAGCTTCCGCTACATATCGTAAATTCTCGTCATACGCCTCCGGAGAAGCCTCACTAGAACTATCATCTGATGATATAATAATAGCCTCAGGATCCCCCACTTCTCCTGGTGCAGGAGGAGAAGAAGTATCCTCACTAGAACTATCATCTGATGATATAATAATAACCTCAGGGTCTCTCACTTCTACCACGGCCGGAGGAATAAAGGGATCAAGAGTTTTCCCGGAAACCTCTTCCTCCTTTAAAGGCACCAGCTCTTCTCGATTAAATATTTCTTGCTCTAATTTAGACAGTTCTTCATCTCCTATATTGGAAAGTGAACTATCTTCATCCCCAGCTGCGTCTTCTTTCCCTGAGGGGGTGCTTCCCTCTTCCTTCCCTGAAGCCTCTTCCTCCATTGAAGGCGAGAGCTCCTCTCCGTTAGATACTTCTTGCTCTAATTTATACAGTTCTTCATCTCCTATACTGGAGAGTGAACTATCTTCTGCTTCCACCGGCTCCGGATTGATAGCTTGGATAGGGATAAGTTGGCTAGGAAGAAAGTAGGCTAGGATTTATAGGTTTCTACTACAGCTTGGTTACCTAAACTCGAATTCATCATAACTTCTCTAGCCAAATTTGCATCTATTTCCGCCGCGGGTAAAGCCTCTTCCTCACGTTAAGAAGATTTGCTCTAAAATCTGACCAGCCTGCTCCAGGTTAGCTTCCGTATATTTAGGACTATAGCTCATACTAGAGATATTATCTTCCGAGGGTTCAGGTATAAAAAATTGAGGTGAAGGAGCCCCATCTCTAGATATATAATCCCTAGAAATATCATCTGCAGATATTAAACTAACCTCTGACTCATTCACTTGGCCAGCACCCAAAGCCTCTCCTGTACTATGTCAATCCATATTGTTATCATTATTAGCGAGACTTTCTGCCTCCTCTGAATAAGGCATATAACCAGGGCTGTCTTGCATAGGTTGTACTAAGGGGTAGTCTACTTCTTGCACAGCTGAAACCTCAACAGCTGCTCCACTATTATTTTGAGCAGCTGAAACCTTAACAGCACCTCCATTATTATTTTTAGTATTATCTTCATCTCCACTATAACCATATATATCCTCATCATCAGGTACTAACCATGCTGAAGTATCAATAGGTGGTTTTATAGCTAGTTCAGGACTATTAATTGGCTCTTGAGGAGCCGGGAAGGCACTTACTCCTCCTTTAGGTAGGGTAGGAGCATTACTTGGCTCTTCAGGAGGCAGCAAGGCTATTGCTCTTAGCCGCTTAGGAGGGTTAGGAGTATTAATTGGCTCTTCAGTGGGCAGCAAGGCTATTGCTTTTCGTTTTTTGGGTAGGGGAGGGATTGGCTTTTCAGTGGGGAGCATCATTCTTGGTTTTCGTTTAGGATAATGATCCGTAGACTTCTTAAGATTAGGTTTAGGATAACGCTCCGTATACTTCTTAATAAGAGATTTATTCTTATCAAGAATATATTTAGGATGATCCATAGACTTATTAAGAATATATTTAGGAAAATGATCTGTAGGCTTCTTAAGAATAGATTTAGGCATATTTTTTTCACCCGTATGCTGGGGAGGACTATTAATTGGCTCTTGAGGGGGAGGACTATTAATTGGCTCTTGAGGGGGAGGACTATTAATTGGCTCTTGAGGAGCCGGCATGGCTCTTACTCTTCGTTTAGGGTAATCATTCGTAGACTTCTTAAGAATAGATTTAGGTATATTTTTTTTCCCCTTATGCAGGGGTTCCTCACTTACAACACTATCCTTCACTAGCAATTTTACTTGGACTTCATTATTAATTTTAACTTTTTTCCCTTGCAAACCTTTTTGTAAAGCTAGCTGACGATCTTTCTCTCTAATTTCTTTTGTTTTTCCTACTCTTTCCTCTGCCCCCTGAGAGATCTCGTAATTATACTTCCCGGGTTTTTTACCTTTTTTATAGTCTACGGCTTCTTTAGTAAAACGTACCTTTCTATAATACTTCCCTGGTATTTTACCTTTTTTATGGTCTATATCTTCTTTCGAAAAATGTACCCTTTTTCCCTTTGCTACACTATTAACCTCACTTGAATCCTTTTTTCCCCTTGTTATACTATTAGCCTCATTTGAATCCCATTTTCCCGTTGCTATACTATTAACCTCATTTGAATCATAAGTTAAATATCCATCCAAATTTTCATGATAGACAAAATCCATAAATCTACGAATAGTATGCTCATCTGTATTGTCTAACAAATTATAATCATATTTAGGTATAGTAAGTTTATAGGACTCATTTTCATTAAAAACAACAGGTAATTGTAGACTATTATTTTTTATGTCTATAATGCTATAAACTTCACAATCCGAATTTTCGTCTAGCAATTGCTGAGAAGTTCCATCTCTCTCAGAGATTCCGAAATATATACTATTAGTTGATATAAGTTCAAAAAATTCAAATGTAAGTCTATTAATAGAAACACCATAAAAATTATCAAAATCTTCAAATTCTCTAGAATGGTTAGCCATATTTTTTATCAACTGGATTCTAGATTCAACTAATGGTAATTTTAAGCTAGAAGATAATTTACCTAGCGTTTGGGATTTTTCTTTGTACCCTTCAATAACTCCATTCTTATATATACTAAATAAAGTTAAATGCCTTTTATCATGCGAGAATAATACAGAATGTATAGGATAATCACGACGAGTTTTAAAATAATATAATGTATTATCCATATATTCATTGTTACTATTAAATCTATCAAATTTAGCTTTCACTAATTCTAATAATTCTCCCGTAGTTTGCTCTCGCTCCTTCTTGTCCGGATTTATAGATTTCTCTCTAATAATACTCTCTTCTGTCTCACGGCGTGCTAGTATCTTTAAATTTTCATAGCCAAGTCTACCTTTATCATCATCATAATTCACAGTAAAATTAGGGTTAGCTTTTACACCTTTAAGTATGTAAAATTTCACCAATTCTTGATAATACCGGTCTACTATATGTTCAATATGAGCCAACCTTTCCATAAAAGACTTTTGCATTTCTTTTGATAATTTTACGTCATCTCTAAGTAGTCTATCCAAATAATTTTGCTGAACTTTTACTGCTGCATTGATCTTTTCTTTAAGTTTAATAAAGTCCTTCGTAATAAATTCTTTACATCTTAATCTAGGTTCTTCTCAATAATAATAATTTTCAACTGTTTTTAATTCCGGTTCAGTATAATTTAATGTAGGCCTTCATACTTTAAATAAACTTTTATTCTCAATAGATTCCCCTTGAGTATAAATTACTAAACCATTGCTTCTATTATTTGCCTTCTCCCAGCCTATTCTGGGCATAACTATTCCATATTTATGCTCTAATAAATTAACTGTATCTCTAATTTGAGTAAAACTTTTAGAATCGTTTTTATCTGCAGGTAAACAATAAGTAGGCATAAAGACACAACCTGGCGAGTCACGTCTAATTAGAAGAACTATTAAAAATCTCCCTTGTAAAACAAGATTAACCGACCCATAATATTCAGGATTAGTGAAATAATTTATCGGTTTTACTGTGAATTTCTCTTTCGATCTTTGGATACCTTCATTATATTTAAGTTTTCAACTCATATTTAGAATAGGGGATTTTTCTATTTGAGGTTTATAATTCGCTATCAGATTTTTCTGTGTAGATTCATCTTGGATGTATAACATATTTTCCCTGTCCTTTTTATTCTTATCCTGGATATTTTCCATTATATTCACAGTTAAACCTTTCTTTATTACACGAGGCTTAGGAAAAGTTATTCTTTTTCAATCATAATATTTAGTTTTACCTGTATTTATATAATAGTCCATAAACCCCTTATTACATCCTTCCTGAAAAAAAGGAGTTATTGCTATAAAAGCTGATATATAGCCAGCCGTTGTTTGAAATGCAGATTTTAGTGCTAATGGTTCATTATTATTTATTACTCTGCACCTGCTAATACCGGATATTGTACTTTGTCTACTACTTGCTCCCTTATATGTTTGCCGGCTATGTACGTATAATTTACAAATTATTAATAATGCTATAAATAGAACAATAAGCACTATTGTCATTATTACAATACTTATTGTACTATAATAGTTTCTAATTAAGTAGTTTACAAATGTAATATAAGTTATTCTATACAAATTTACTCTTTCTACTACATAATCGTTATACAAATAATAATCTTCATCCTTTATAGGTTCTTTCTTTAAATATTTAATAATAAAATTTAGCAAATATAAAATCATAGGTAAAGGAAGAACAAGTGTTAATATTATTGATAAACTTTTATTCTCTAAATTTAATAACATAGTAGCTATCATAGATCTAAAAGTAAAAATTAATATAACAGAAATTATTCATATTTTTAATAAATGTTTTATAATTTTGTATATATTATTAACTATTTGTCTAACCAAGTACACTAATTTTTTCCATTTGTCTGAAGGCGATGCTATCCCTGTTGGGGCGAATATATAGTCATAATAGTACTTAAAATGTTTATTATAAAAGTTTAAAGCTAAAGCTTTAATTAATATTGCACTTAATAAACTTGAAATTATAAAAATATAATTTTGTATTATAAAAACTAAGGAAAATTTTATTATTATAAATATAAATATAAAAATTTTGATTCAAGGTAAAGATCTATAGCTATAGCCATAGCTAAATTTTATGTTAAGATCTCGCACTTGATAAATTTTAGTTTGTGACGGTAACAACTCTAGATTTAGTATAGAATCCCTTAAGGGATCTATACATAAACTCCAATCTATGGGTTGCACAAACACATAAATAAAAACTATACTTAAAATTTGATATAATCTCGCATTAAAAAAGGGCGAAACTAATCCTCTAAGATAATTTTTTCATAAGCTTGCAGCTATACAACCATATTTCTTAAAAATTGGCTGCAGCTGCACACAGTGTAAAAACACATATCGTATTAATTCTATAAAATTGTTAAATATCATCATCATTGTTTTGTTAAAAAAAAATCTGTTTATTATTATAATGGCTAGGTAGTATAGAATAAAATAAAAGTGTGTAATCATGCGCACATATATATTTCGCTACCTAAGAGTTGCGCATGTAGTAAAAAAAAATGTATTTTTTTTTCGAGCTTTCCTAAGCCTTCATCATACGAAACTAAACGGTGGGGGAAGGCTACTCTAATATAGTACAGATATACAAAGACACGGAAAGGCTTCTCCTCCCTGCTTACTGGGGATAACAACAAAGCATCCGTATCATCACCTCCTAGCCTACCAAAGAGTATCCTTCTAATCCGAAGGATACCCATTCAGCAGTGTGGCACTTTATAGTAATCTATCCAGCTACTGTATATTAGCTAATATAAAATATACTATCGTCATCAGGAACGTAAATCTATCACGAACGGAGACTCATTTTATCCTTGTTAAACTCCAAATCTTAGGAGCCAGCCTATAATATCACTCAGCTAAAAGATATAAATTCACAGATAAAAAATTTTATATCTTATAGCGAAGGCACCCGAAGAAAGATTTGACTTTCATTGTTGTAAGGCGGGGCAAGCTCTTCATCGTTATAGGGCAGAGCAAGCTCCAGACCACTTCGGGTCTGATATTATTAATTGCTTATCTATAATAATTCCTGCTCATTAGTAAGCGGTTAAACCATATTGTACTATTGTACACCGAGGGCGAGGCGAGCTTTATAAAGCTCGCCCTCGCCGTATTAATATCTAAGGAAGGATTTGAACCTTCATGCCCTAAAGCAACAAAGCTTAAGTTTGTCGTGTCTACCAATTCCACCACTTGGATTTAATTTTTATTTTTATTTTATTTTAGTGTAGTTATCTTTAACTATATCACTTATAGATCTAATAACAAATTTATCCTTCTGTATATCACTTATAGATCTAATAACAAATTTATCCTTCTGTATATCACTTATAGATCTAATAAATTTGTTATTCTTAATTATATTACCCATAGAGCTTTAGCACTAACGAAGTACGCTAGAGCTTGCGCCTAAATATATTTTTTTCTTTCTAGAAGGCGAAGCTCTAGCGCAGCCCAAATAAATTTGTTGTTATTAACTATATTTATCTCTCTAAAAGATCTAAAAAGTGTAGAGGGTGGCTAACTAACCTTAGCAAGCTAAAGCTATTCGTTCCCCCTCACTAATAGCAAAGCCCACTAATTAGTTTTTCTCACTAATAATCAAGCGTGCGAAGCTGTGCGAAGCCCATGAATTAGTTTTTTAAGAGAGCTTGCTAGAGCGAAGTCCGCTATAAAAACTAATTTTTTTTTAGGCGCAAGCTCTAGCTCTACACGAGGGCCTCTCTAGCTAGCTTGCAAGCTAGCAAGCTAGAAAAAAGTACATTTTTTTGACCTCACTCTCATAAAGGTAACAAATATCTGTGCTATGTAGGCGGAGCTTTATAAAGGGGGCTGGTGCTTTAGCATGCTGAAGGCTGGCGCAAGCTATGCATACTTCGTAGGGCGAAGCTCTAGCGCAGCCCCCCTCCTCTATGTATAAAGCTCCACCCGAGTTAATATGAATATTAGTTATTATTATTTATTATCGCAATAATAAAAACCAGTATAAGCTTTTAATACGGCCAGTCAGACTTGAACTGACATAAATCGAGTGGAAATCGACCAGTTTACCATTAACCCATGGCCGCTTTTTTAGGGCTAAAGTGACTTGAACACTTATAATTACTGTTATGAGCAGTACACTTTACCTATTAAGTTATAGCCCTACGCGGACAAAGGACTTGCACCTCTAACCTCTGGGCATGAGCCAAATGTGTTACTATTACACCAATCCGCTTTAGACTAGATAGGATTCGAACCTACGATGGTAGCATTGAAAGAGCTATGTCTTACCACTTGACTACTAATCCGAGCTTGCTTAGCTAGTGCAGGAGGAGACTTAGTCTATTCGTCTATAGCTAACTAACCTTAGCAAGCTAAAGCTATTTCTCAGCCCAATGCAAGTATCGCACTTACTTCAATTGATTACAAAACAATTGCATTACTTTTATGCTAATCAGGCTCTAGCTGCAATTTACTAAACTTTAAGGGGAGCTAGAGCTTGCGCCTATATATAGGCTGC